GGTGTGGCGTCAACCAACTTTATACCTCTGGTTCTTGTTGCGTCATAGACAACAGGTCAAGGTTTTTACCTTTGGTTCTTGTTGCGACATAAACAACGGGTCAAGGTCTTATTATAAACCTGATTTAGGTTTCCTGAGTTTAAAAATCCCTTGTCATGCTGTGGGTGTCATTGTTCTCTTTGGGGTTCTCATCATATACTTTGTCAAATTGAAATTCAAATTAGGTAATTAAATGATGGACGACTATAGTTGGATAGATCGTCATGTAGATGATAGTGGTTTTGTTACTGATGAATTTAAAGAGGGGGTGCAATTTTTTGTGAGATTTGCATTTTGAAGATTGAAAGCAAAATCAGAGATTAAGTGTCCTTGTTCGAAATGTAAATGTAGAAAATGAGGGAATCCTGAGGTTGTCTCTGTGCATTTGTGTAAGCATGGGTTTATGAATAACTATTATGCATGGTATGTTCATAAAGAGACATCTAGTAATATAGTAAGAAACTTTGAAGGGGAATCTTCTAATATAGAGTTTGTTAGAAATGACGTAGATGAATTATACCATGAAATGGTAGTTGATGCAATGGGTGCACAGTCTGAATACAATGACAAGGCAATGGCTGAGGAACCAAATAGTAAGGCAAGAGAATTTTATGATCTCTCTTGCATGCTGTAGAAGTCCACTAGGGGACAGGATGTTACAGTACTTTCATGGATGGCAAAAATGCTAAACATGAAAACTCTTTATAATATGAGTGCTGCTAATTGGGAAATGGCATTGTCATTGAGTCGAAAGTTGTTGAGTCTAGAGGACCAAGAAAAGGTGCCAAAGGATTTCTACAGTGTAAAAAAATGATAAGTAATCAGTAAATTTCTACAGTGTTCGATTTCTACGTCAACTAAGCACAAGCTGATCCCACCACACCACAGCGTAATCAGTAAATTCCACCACCGCTGCTAGTTTCACCTTTTTCTCCTCAGAGTAGTTATGGCAATCAAACACCAATTCCACCTTCTTTTCCCACTCCAAATACACATCTGGATCATTTTTTCCTTGAAATGGAGGGATCTTCATCTTGATGCTGCCTAAGTCATGAGCTTGCCGATCTCCGCACCTTGCCAGATTTTGGTCTCCTTTGTTTAAGT